TTGGAATTGATGCGATTTGTTTATAAGAAATAAAGCAATCTAACTGTATTATTCACATACGTTTATCATCTTTTTTGTGTTTCATTTTAGGTGGTGTGCACAAAAATATTTTTCTTTCTTCGGTCGAGTTCTGACGAATGTGGAGCAATAACCGGTTGGTCCATTCTGTTATTTTCCTTTATTTCGTACCGCCAACTATCGTAATTGTTTTCCATTTTTGTCCTTTTTAATTTTGTCAGTTTTTATTGTTTGAATTTACACAGGTTTGGTTACAGCGACTTACAGTCACACGATACTGGAATTAGTGTAACTACCAAAGAAATGCCGAATTTAATCAGTGATTAGGATTTCTAGATTGTGTAAGCAACTCTTTGAATACACCAGAAAGACTCATAGGGTAAGTGAAATGAAAACAGAGAAACAACAAGAACGAAAGATGGAAGGAGTAAATATTTAGTACACTTCGTCTGGCACAAGGCCGCAAGAGGGGAGCATTTTACCGAGAATTGAACCCGATATACACGTGAGGCACGCATGCTAACCACTATCCCCCATCAAATACGTTTTAAGGAACGAAGGGATAATATAAATTACTGATTTTTTTTTACTAAATTTCACCCAATACAATACTTGAGAGCCACTCCATGTAGAGGTATACAATCCAAATGGTATACAATGTAAATGATAATCATGGTAATGATGCAAGTGGTGTGTGAAATTAATTATGAAGAAAGTGGTGGGAAGGAGAATAGATGACGATTGTATAAATTCAAATTGAAGTGTTCAAGCAAGCATACACGCGATTTTCTCAAACAGATGTTCCTTGGGAGACTGAGGATATGAGAGTGATTCGACTCCGTGGAAGAGGCACGGCCTGTCCTAGCCGTAGAGGTCGAAACTAAAAACCGGAGGTCATCTGAATATTTGTCGGGAAAATAACGATCGAGGAGCAATCGGCTTACGAATTTGCATTTATGGGAAACTCGTTGTAGGATGAAAAGGTGCTTTGACGATTACTATTTTAGTTTGTTTGTTTGTTTTGCGACATATCAACACTTTAAGAGTCATTTATTGCAGAAATTTAATTTTCTTTGGAGCATGTAAAAGTGGTATTTTTTCCTGGTAATTTTTTTTTTTTTTTTTACAAACATGTAATACTGGGAATTTTTTATCTTTACAAAAATGCTGGTAATATCTTTTACTATGAGAATGTATTTCTGGTATTTTTACTACATTTTTTTTTTTTATAATTTCATACTGTTTTGACCCCAGTTTGAGGGTTAACTATATTTTCCATATTTGGGACCCTAAGCGGTGCTGCCACCTCAGGTCAGGGTGGACCTGGGAACAACAGCAATTAAGAGGTGGTTCCACGCTCCTCAAAATCTCCCTATTGAAGGCCTTGCCGCCAGTTGCAGTTTATCATCAATCCCAGGACGGCAACGATTTCAAACTGACTTAAATCTAGAAAGATATGTAAGTGATAAGTGGGGAAGAAGAATCCACTGGTGAGAGATAATGGTACGCGGTTTGGTTGATAACCTCATGAATTTTATCGTTCAGAAGGGAGTCCCTTATTTTTCACGTTTGGAATGACTAATGGTCCGAATAATGTAAATAATGTACATAATACCTCATCTCAGAAATATAGACAGACTCTAATTTCCATTTGTCGAACGTTAATCAGATGAATCGCCTCGTCGTTTCTAACGGATCTGCCGGTTACTTTTAGAATGTACCATGAGTTTCATAAAGATGTGAGAAACTATTACTTTTCCCATTTATTTTGAAAATTTCTACAATAATTTGTGTTGATTGTATGCACGACCAATACGCCTTCCTACATTTTATTTTTTTCTTAACCATCCCCGCCACAAATCAAAGCAATAAATCCACTAAGACGCGAGGGCTTGCTGAGTGAAATATTATAAGAGAAAAAGAAAAAAAACATTACGGAGAGACGACAATAAAAGAACAGGTTTCAAAGAAACAGATGACGACGATTGACATTGCATTTAAATTTATGAAGTTCCAACTGGAAAGCAAGAAGCCCGAAGAGAGTTCCACAAATGAGAAGTGCGAGAGAATAAACTGTTAACACAGAACATCTAGTCATTTCGACTGTAAGGTTATGAGACCTAACCGCCAATCTAATACCGCGCTTCAATTAATAAAGTTTAAGTACCACAGAGGAAAGTTTTTCAAGACAATTACCCCGAAAGTATTTACAGAAAAAGGTACAGGGCAACTACATGACAGCTGTGGGAAAGAGACTGAAGCCGAGATGCCATATCAGGACCAATAACATTGCAGATTCTTCATTGTATCGTATTAAGAATCTCTCTTTCTCACTCTCACTCTCTCTCTCTCTCTCTCTCTATATATATATATATATATATATATATTGATTATTATAATTCCTTTTAATTTTTTACACAGTTACAGTGTTTTCTGCAGTATTTATCTGTTTTTTGGAGTTTTTTTTTTAATCTATCATGGACATTATTTGTCTTCTCTGTTATATTTATCAACTTTGCCTTTTCTAAATTCGTTAAATTTTTATCAGTTGATTGTTTTAGTATAAGATTATTATCATAAATCTTCCGTTTACATGTAGTCGTTTCAACTGTAAAATGATAAGACCTTGCCGACAATCTAGTACTAAGCTTAAATTGCTAAAGTTTAGATACCACACAAGAAAACATCACCAAAACAATTATCATGAAAATATTTATAGAAAAGGCACAGCGAAGCTATATTACACCGTTTAGACAGTGACCAAAACCTTGATGCCAGGTCAGGACGAATAGCATTGCAGATTCTTTTTTGTATCTTATCTAGAATCTCTTAATATAAAGCAGGAGCACTAGGCTAGATGGGCAACGATATTCAATGTATGGACAAATGGTTAACTTGTAAATGTGGGAGATACATTCTGGCAACAAAAAGTGTCTAGCACGACAGAGTTAACTAATTTTTATAGAAGGAGACCTAGCCATTGATTTAATAAATTCTTCCATTTCATGCCATCAGAAACGTTAGCTCTACAATCACCTAAGTTACCTAAAATCAATCGACTTTCTGTCCTATCCGCAGCCTTACAGAGCTCTAACTGATTACTCTTTCTCAACTGTACAATTATTATGTTTGTTAGCATGTACCATCATTAGATCGCCAACTACCGTAAATTGCGGCGTATAAGTCGGGTTTTAAGCCTAAAAAATCTTTTTGGGACGCATTTTCAAGGCTAAAAAATCTTTTGCAGTCGAGATTTCAGGCCTAAAACTCCTTTTCCTTACAGTATTTAAGCTGAAAATTCTTATTGAAACGCGTTTTCAAAGTTAAAAAATATTTTGTATCGCGTTTTCAAACCTACAACATATTTTGGATTTGAATTTTCAAGCCTAAAATATTCTTGGCTCAAGTTTTCAAATCTAAAAATATTTTGGAGTCGAGTTATGAATCCAAAAAATATTTTGGGGTCGAGTTATGAATCCAAAAATTATTTTGGAGTCGTGTTTTCAAGGCTGCAATATCTTTTGGGGTCGAGTTTAAAGTCTAATATCTTCTTCGCTCGAGTTTTAAGCCTAGAAACCTTCTTCGCTCGAGATTTTAAGCTTAAAATAATGTCCTTGGCTCGAGGTTTCAAGCCTAAATATATTTTGGGGTCGAGTTTTCAAGCCAAAAACTATTTTTGGATCGTGTTTTCAAGCCTAAATAATATTTTGAGGTCGAGTTTTCAAGGCTAAAAATCTTGTTTGCTCGAGTTTTAAGCCTAAAAACCTTCTTCGATCGAGATTTTAAGCCGAAAACATCTTTTCGGTCGGGTTTTCAAACCTAAAAATATTTTGTGGTCGAGTTTTCAAGTTTAAACAATCTTTTGACGTCGGGTTTTCATGACTAAATTATCTTGGATCACAGTTTTTGGTCATTGGTACATTACCGTATCTTTGGGGGTCGACCTATACGATAGATATAGACTTAGCTCAGAAGATTGAGCTAAAAATTTTAAGGTCGACTTATACGCCGCAATTTTTTTAGTATGTTTATTGATTGATTTGTTTTTTACGGTGTATTAATCCACTTTGGGTTATTTAAAAGCGAAATATTTTTAGAATGGTGGGATAATTCCTTTTCTGCCATTGAATATTGCATTATTTTTTTGGAGATCACAATTTTTCCAGATACACGTCCTGATTTTTAATCCACAGGTGGGTAAAAAGACTTAGACTCGTGGCTTTTTCATCGCTTTTTTGTGCGTTAATGATTTTATATCTAAGATCAGTTTGCAGCATCTGTTCAATTACCTGAAAGCATAGTCAGAAATGTTCGCCTTATACAACAGATTTTCTGATCGAGCAGAGAGGACCAATTCTTTCAATTAAAAATACCACACATACGGTTCTCAAGAGTCTAATGAATGTTTCTGCGTAGATTTGATTTAAATACAATCAAGATATAGATCTTTTCTTTCCTGAAAGCCAATTACATTCATTATCGTTTCCCTTGTGCTAAAAGTAGACAATTATGAAATCTAGATCTAACCACACTACTTCATCAACTTTCGTCAAACCCAGGCGCGCCATTTAATTATCTATTTCTCGTAGCTATATAGTGTATTAAAATGCTACATAGAGATTAGAATTTAGATGTGTCCTTCTCTTCGACTGGCTGCAAAGCATGGCTAAAGAGTCCAGTCTGCCTTGCTGTATAATCCATAGCTACAGGAAAGAAGTGTTGATTGATTTATTTGTTTCTACGGCTAATCAACACTTTGAGGTTATTTGAACCCAGATAATATTTGTGACTGATTTTTTTTTATATATAATAATAATTTACTGATAAAAGTTCTACTAATTAACCCATAGATAGAGGGAGACCACGTGGATTCCTACCTTTCCAAGTTGTATTTCCGCGTAAGTGAATATAACGAATTGGAACTCGGCTCCCTGACATCCAATTTCGAGACGTTGTCCATTACACCACCCTCACATGCAAGC